TCGAATCAGGTGAAATAGACGTGTTTTAGGGATTGTTCCACCGTGGATTTAGCAATCGTTCGTTCTCGGCTGTTATATATAGAGTTCATTTGTACAAGGTAAATTCGTGTCTGAATTTTTTGAAGATGAGTTGTTTGAAAAATTTTCAAAGTTTTCGATTTGACGAAGTTTCGTTTTTTTGAACGTATTGGTATTTGATAATAAATATTTTGTAGTTATTTTTTGTTTCTTTTTTTTGTTAGCATCCGTTTCGAGAGATTAAACAACATGATCGTTGCATCGATGAAAAAAAAGGAGAAGCATGGTGGTCAGAGAACGGAGGAGAAAGGAGCCACGCTCGTTATTTCGAGCGCCTGGGCTGCTGGATAATTGATAGCGGAATGCTAATAACTTGGACGAGCCATGGATTATAATAAGTTTCTTGCGTATACCGCTTCTTGCCTTCGCTCGCTGTTGTTATAAACGTGTCACAAACGATCAGTTTTGTCAGCTTATCACGCCGATCTTAATTAATTGGTTCAGGAAATCTGGGTGAATGGAAATAAATGAAAGGACAGTTTTTCGTGACATAGTTGATATGCAATAAGGCTCAAAACTTGAATTATATGATTTAAAGTTTATGTAATTTAGAGAACAACTATTGTATCTATTTGTCGCTGAATCGTTTCAAAATAAAGTTGTTCCGGAAAGAATTCTGCAGAATGATTAAATTTAGAATCGCAAATTTATAATTTAGATTTTATTTCTGAAAACTGCTTGAAAAGGAAGTTTAAAGTTTGTTTTAAAGATAATCCTGAAGGACGGCTATTTTCAGAGTTATTCAATTTATGTGGATAGGTATATAGCACCTATATTATTGAGATTGGATTGGATTAGAGAGATAAAACAAAGGAGAATTGGATATAATAAATAGTTTTCCTATAATTAAACGGTCTTATACATATTTTTTGTCTGGAACTAAACATTAGTATTAAACGTTAGAATTTTAATTGTGATTTCTAAGAATAATATCATTTTCTTGTTATTAAAAGATCGAAGCTTTTTTTTTATTTTTATTAATCAATAGAGAACATTGAAATTTAAATTCATAACTTTATAAACAAAAAACAATTGTAATGTCATTTTTTCCGCTTATATTTAGTTATTCGCATCATATTATTCAATTATTTTGATACTTGAAATTATATAAACATTTCCTTTTGTTAAATAAAAGAATAAACAGAAGAAGAAGAAGAAGAAGAAAAAGGACGAGAAAAACGGAAAACATGAGAATGAAAACATGAGAAGACAAATGATGTACAGAAACGATTAATCGAGAATTTCTATTGAAAACGAACGAAGCCCATTTACCGTACACGTATCCCATTCTACCATCGAATAGATTTACGGCGCAACGTGTGAAAATTTGTAAAAAATCTTAATACAATTTGCTAGAAGATTAAGCCACGGCGAGTGTATAATTACACGAACGGTTCGTATACTTCCTTTTCAAGTCCTGTCCGGGATTACGTATCGCCGTATACTGCATTATGGAGTGTGAATAATTATAGTACACGAGTGGAACCGATGAACGAGTGTACGCTCACCGCCACGCCATCGCGACGATTAACAAAGAATAACCGTGGTCGCTTTTCGAAAGGCTTCCTCGAAAAGCGAAGGGGCAGAAACCGGGAGGAGAAGCAGAAGAACGAGAAGAAGGACAAAAGAAGAAAAAAAAGATCGTATCGAGGCGGTTATCTCGATTAGATCTCTGCATCGGATCCATCGATCGTCTTGTCAATTATACGGAATCGTATATCGAACCGCGTAAATTACGGAACACGCGTCCCATGTGAAATAATATTGTAGGTTGCGCGACGCAGAGTCGTCGTCGTGTGTGCGCGCGCATGTGCGCAAACGCATCGAAAAATGTAATTGCCGCCACTGAACAAGAATCGGTAAATCTCGATATCGTTCGCGTGTGTTTCGTTTCAATTTAGAAAATTGTTCGTTTCGATTCTGGCATTCGTATAAGTGTTTATTAAAAATGGAAAAAATGAAACTTGGGTTGAGTCATAGAATATTTCGCGATCGAAGTTCTTTTGTTTATAATGTGTTGAAATTGCATTGTGAATACTGTAGTTGTTGAACTTGTTGTATGGACATGTTGGATATCGACTGTAGAATTCGAAAAATTCGAAAAGTTTGAGGTAAGATTTTTATTCAAATTTCATGTTCGGATATCTATTTTTTTCTACGATTAAATTTATTAGATTATTTGAAAGTTAATTATACTTCTTGACGATATGACGTCATTCTAACCTCAAAATGTATTCGTCAAGCAATTAACTTACTACGATATAAAGTGATTTCTTCTATGTGAATATTTGACTATCTCTTTTTCGTTATGCATAACTATATACATTTTTCGTATGCATAATACTGTAATTGCAAACAAAATTGCTTGTATCAATCATTCTATTAAAAATAGGAATATTTGTTTGGAAACGACGAAAGAAAATGATGTATTCACAATTGTTATTCGCAATAGAAATGTTTTCATTTCTCATACATGCTTTTAATCTTTCTTCTAACTTCTTTTCATTATTTTATTACTAAATTATTAAAATCGTAACATAAAACGTTTTTATACATTATCAGAGACATAACCAAGGCGTGAAAAGATTAAACATAGCAAACTACCATCAAAAGACACAATCAGAAAATATACGGAGCAATCTTCCTTTGCTCCATTTCCACTCACGTCCGCGCTTCGAATCCAAAGTTGTCATAACTAATTGAATCCTCACACGTATAGTACGTATACGCGACGCGAGTCACGATAAACATTCGAGTCGATAGAATCGCTTAGCACGAGATAAACTTGTCCGTGGCTGAAGTTTATTAACGCGCGGCACAACCCGGTTATACATACACACCGTGGAAAGAAATCGGCTTTATAAATATTATACGAGAGAGACACGAATGTATAGCGAACTGGTTTCGCCGCGAGCGTTGTGTTATCAGCGCGAACCAGTTATGACATTTATAGCCGCAGATCCCAAAAATTTCAAAACTTCACGCACGTTTCACGAATGACCATAGACTTTTTCTACTTCCTTGAACGATCCACGTGTCGGTACGTTATGCGTAAATTACGAGCTCGAGATTTTTTTTTTTTTAAAAGAAAGATATTTTTAGTATTTACCATGTTTTAATATTTCGTTATATTGGAATTTAATTTAATCGAACGGAATTCAATTTAAAACGAATTTCAAATTAAACGTTTCTTTAGTTCGAATGATTCATATATTTATTAAGATTATAAATGGAAATGAAACTGTAATACAATGAAACGAAAATTTCCATTTCCAATTCTCCTAAAATAAAATCTCTTGATTTCATTACTCTATCATTTTATCTTAATACTCGAAATATCTACACGTTATTCCGAATTTTATATAAAATACCATATTCTTAAAAAAAATCTCTGAATAATAAGACTGAGACTGAGAGACAATTCTAGAGCTATTTCTATCGCAATCTCTCCGATCACCCCGACAAATTACGCCCGTGTCAACGAGCGTCAAATTCCATCTCGTGGTAATCGTAAAACCGCGTCCTAAAAGCGTGCTATTAGTTTAATCGTTCCCTAACCAGCGTGAAAACTCGACCCAAGCGAAAACAAATGAGCCAAAAGGAAGAAAGGGACGAGAAAAAAAAAAAAAAAATAAAAAAGGGCCCGATGAAATCTCGGTGTTTCCGTCATTTCTACCAGCAAGCTCGTTCGTGCAGGCTATATTCGGCCGCCGCGTGCCAAATTACATTAAAACTCCCTACGTGTCGAGCATGCTCGGCCTAGGGAGTATGCGTATACAACGGAACCGCGAAATAAAACCCTTAGACACAGATTGGCTCGCATGTTTCCCGTAATTTCGCACGAACAAGCGACATATTATTTCCCGTAATCACGCTGGAACCGAACGAGGAGTCACTTTATGCGCTCTATGTTTCGTTACACGGGGGTGGGAGGGGGTTGAACAGAGATAGGAGGATGGTTACGCATCGAACTACATAACCAACTATTGGTCATTTAATTATTGTATCCTGCCTCATAAATTATTCAGTTCCGTAACGTTTGCCGATCTTCGGGAATTATTTATTGCGCGCACGTGAAGGGGGTAACAAACGCGTCTAATTATTCGCGCCGATATTTTTGCGCGATTATGATCGATAGTTGTGGATTTTTTGAACGAGTTTCAAAATAATAGTAGCAGTTTAAATTTTCGATCGTGAATATTATTAAAATTTGGGTAAAATTTTTGGTCGAAGATTCGAAAGTGTGCGTATTACGGAGAACGAATTAGTTGATTGATCGTAAAAGTTTCAAAAACTTTTTTTCGAATTCGTGTTTAATAAATAATAATAAATAGAATCATCGAACCGTAATCATATACTTCTGATATTTTCCGAATGGCTTAATTACGCGATGAACGATAAGAGGAAATAACATAGCAACGTTCCAAGTGAATGCCTAATAGCTTGGCTGGTTTTGAAAAAAAAGGATCAAGGGAATCGCGAGGTAGAACGTGAAAGACTCGAGGCCCGTAGCTATCAGTGAAACGTCAACGAACTCGATCGTTTCGTCTAATAGGAACTGTAAGGGACAGTCCCGGGTATTTAAGCAACGTGTTTGCTCGAAATGGGTAAACATGGAAGTATTCGTTTGGCAGAGAAATATTTACAGGGTAAATTTCGAAGGCTGACACTGTCTACCTGTCCACTCTTCCTCGGTGCATCGAATATAGAAAGAAGGAACTCTTCGATCGTAAAGCATCGATGATGCACCTTTCGAAAGGTGAAGAGAAAGAAAGGAGAGAAGGGATGGATCGCTAAACGAATAATCGGAGAGAAAGAGAAAGAGGAATTAGCTAGAACCCCTCCCCCCTCCCCCTCCCTCCATAGAATAAGAAGAGCTTTTCACAAAGGAGGAACGAGGGCGGAGGAGAAGGGAAACGAACCTGTAGTAAGGGAATCCCTGATGTACGTGAAGGTCCATGGGCATGGCGGGATGCGTGGGCCCATGGTGTGCCGGGGCGGGGGTGTACTCAGCAGCCGCGGACAGGGGTGGCTGCATCATGCTCGCCGCGGCGGCCGCATGGTGGCCGGCGAGCATAGCCCCCCAATGGAAACCCGGTGCACCGGGCATCGCCGACGGATGTTCCAGTTCGAGGCCGCGGTGACTCGTCGAGGGTAACGCGCCACTTGCGCCCGATCCACCACCGATACCAGCGGCTCCACCAGCACCGCTCCCGGCGACACCGCCGCCGCGGTGCATTAGCCAGCCCTCCACAACGAACGTCGATCTTGTCCCTCCGTTGAAACACCTTGATCTCACACCTTCACCTCGATGATCCCCCGAACCAACAATGTACAACTCACACACCACGATCCAATCACACTTCCGGTCTCTTTCCGTTCTCCCCTCGGCCTCTCCACCACCCAACCTTAACAGCTTCCCCTGTGCAATATCATACACCACCCAATGGCAGCCTTGCTAAGCCGAAGCTTCCCCTACGATAACCTCCACCTCGTTGAACTCTCGAAACCGCCGAATAACAAGGACGAGTAAAAGAAATCGACGATCACTTGACACACTGTGGACACATGATTCGGCCCGAGTGCACGACGCGAGCCGGCGGCCTCTCCGCGAGCCTGCCACCGGCCCCGGAACACGGCTCACCGGACACTCTCGCGATCCACTCGCGCGAGGAGGACGCGGACGTTGAATCGCGTTGCGGTGGTAGCGCGGCGCTCTCTCCCTGGTCACGTTCCGCGTCGTCGTCGTCGGCGGCGCGCTCCTCGCCGGATGTTCACGGTTACGCGGGGGAGACAGGTGTTCCCTCCGTGGCTTCCTCTCGCGAGCCGCTGCAGCTGGACGGACCCGGAGAGTGGCGCAGCCTTTAGCTCGGCCATGAATGACGCGCCGTACCTCGAGCCACTTCGCGGAGGCGGGGCCTGCTCGCGCCCACGTGACACCTACCGCCTCCGTGCCTCGCCCCCCGCGCGACCCGCTCTCCACCGCGCTGCCCAGCCCTCTCCTCTCCCTCCTCGCGCTCACCGGCCCCGCTCTCCACGCCAGCTGCCACCTCTACCACCGCCGCCGCCACCACCACCACCAAAGTCGATACCGTGTCCTCCGCCGCAGGTCGAGCTTGCACCCGGATACCGTCCTCGATTCCGACTAGATGCTACCGCGAACGTGGATGATCATCCCAATGGCTGGTCGAATAGAGAAGGGAAGGAGAGCTGTCCGTGGGGGACTCTGGCAGAGGGTTCGTTCGCAGACGATTTTTAGGGTTGCGACAGTGATGGAATTTTTGGTAGCGAATTTTTTTGCCAATTGTGCGTTTGTGGATTGGGGTGAACTCGCTTCTCTTCACGATGTAAAAGATGATTCGATTCGAGTATTATTCGTTGTAAAAACGACGAGGGAAATGAAAAGAGTATTGTTGAAAGTATTGTTGGATTATAAAATTGCATAATGTTTTGTACAAGAAAGGATAAGTATAATAGGTTGACAAAAAGTTTCTCCGATATAAACGAGGCGAAACTTTTTACGGAAATTCACCCTTTCACTCGCCGCGTATAGCGTTCTATCGCATTCCAACGGTAATGATCCATCGGTGGATACTATTCCGCGCCGTTATTGTATTCATTATCGAATTATCTTCGTCTTATTGTCCGACCATACGAGGCGCTCGTTCTTCGTTCTATACTTTTAGATGCTTCCTCGCCTTTTTCTTATTTTTCGTAGCAGAAAATGCGACAAAGAAATCGTACATCTATCGCCTTCGTTTTCGCGTTTTCATCGATAAAAAAATTCCAAAAATTTCTTCGAAACTCATTATATATCTTCCCCAATTTATCTTCTACTAAATGTTTTACATTTCACAATTCCAAATGGGATTTGAAATCAGACGAAAGGATGCATCGCGAGGGGTTGAAGGAAAATCCGCGAGGTACCGCCTCCGATTACGAGGCGCGGAGCGAGAAGGCACGTCGACACCCTCGCGAATCGACCGAACCGTAGACGCAAGCCCGTTCTGACGTAACACTTGTTGAGCCGATTCACTCCCGCGGCCATCCCTCGATGGACATTTCGCAAACGACCGGGGGATGTGCCGTGGAATTTCTGTTATCAACTGCTCGACCGGCTCGTACGCCACACACACACGAGTCGGCCTTTATCCTCTCGACATTCGTTTCTTTCGTGTCGAGGGTTGATCAGCGAGAGAGAGAGTTGACCGGACCAGGGTCAACAGAGGATGAAAAATTTCCTATTTTCTTAAAAGGAATTACTCGGGTTTAACGCTTCCGTAACACGTGCAATTCACAACAGAGTGGGATAAATATTGTAGCGTTTGGAAGCGTAGGGGAACAATATATAAAATATGTGAGGCAAGGCACGTCCTCATAATTCTATCCTACTACCCCAAAGTGTCAGAAATATATCGTTTCTTCGACAGTCTTGACAATTCGTTTGATCCTTAACAGGATCGTGAGTAGAATCGAGTTATCCTTCAAGAATTATTCAAAGTTATATATATATACACACACACACCTGTGCTTTTATCCTAACTGTATTTTATTATCGACGAATTTATTTAATCGTGAAGCAACACTTGTACACATTCCTTTATTTCTATCGCTCAAAAACGAAAATTTTCATCGTTCTCGAACATTCTCCCTTTTTACCTTTTCATTTTCACGATCCGCGCTCGAATTATTACTTCTAATCAGGGATTCAGATACGCGGATGGAAAATAAAAGCAGGAGAGGGTTAAATCGGCCGACGGTCCGCATCGGGGGCTCTCGGGTTGTAACCAAGCTGCTACAATAAAAAATTTAATCAAAATGCCCTCTTGGTAATTTACAGCTCGGCCAGTCTCAACCCTTTTGGGCGGCGTGAGAAGGAAGGAAGGAAGGGCGAGAAGGGGACGACGGAGAGAAAAAGAAGCCCGTAGGAGTCATAGAGGAACGCGACACAGGCCATTTCCTCGCTCGAGGGCTCGTCCCCCGTAAAAAATAATACTTCTTGTCTCCGCTCATTTGCCCCTGTTAAACTGGCGCCACTCTCACCTTGACACCCGCTCCCAACCCGTAAATTACGAATTAGAGACGTCAACTGTAAACCTGGCAATGCCGTGAACGCTCGACATCGGGGTAAGTACGTTTTTCAACGGCGAAATAGAACGTTTTAGAAGTTTAACCCTCTCGAGATGTACACTGCTCCCCTCAATTAAAACGTTTTACTTCTTTACGATAAGAATTAAGAAAGTCCTGCGTACTTTTCAAGTTTCCCGAAACCTAATTTCTCTCTCTGATAAGAACGTCTTAGGAAGAAAAGAAATTTCAATTTTTTATTTAAACAAGTGAGAGAGCAATATTCTATTAGATTTTTGCAACGCGATCACAACGCGATTCGAGTACGCTGTTATGTCGCAAATTTTAGTCTTTCTTCGACAGAGTTCACGGATTATCGGTTAAAGAATCTATCCAATCGATAAACCGACTCCTCTTCCGACTCGATATTCCTCGTAGTTGAAACGTCGTAGAAACGGTTTAATGCCGTAATCCCGTTCCGAAATTGCAAACGGCGTTACTCGTCGCCATGATTAAAGGGCAATATCTATGCACGTCCGATTAAAGACCGCCGCGGTCGCAGCAATAATTTATTTACAGCTACGACTTACGATATCCTGGAACCATTAAAGGTAGATTCCCGGAGAAAAGTTTCGGCCGTGGTTGCCTACCTGGTGGGTACAGGTGTGAGTCGTAATAACATAGCGGCCGCGCCCTTTAACCTCTAATATCCCTACCTTGGTACCGACTTCACTAACGCCGCCAACAATCGGCCCCGGGTACACCGCAATCATCCTCTACCTCTGTATCAATCGCCAGCGGATCATTATTGCGGATACACTTAGCATTGCGCTTTCTCCACCGTTACTTTTACCACTGCACACGTGCATCGCCCGTTTCGAAATATTCTATTGCGATTCTGCTGATTCTTTTGCGGACAGCTTTTCGAATTTTTCTCCTTTTTTTCCCCTTAAGAGAAAGATTTAAGAAGGATTTTCTTTCGTTTCGATTTTTAATGCGATTGAAAAAACTTTGGAATCTTATTGGGATTGGAAATATTATGCGAGCTCCTTGAATTTTTCATTTCTTTTTACGTATTCGAGAGAAACTTTGAAATTTTAAAAGTTGAAAATATCGTAGGATGTAAGAAGAATTTTGCACGATTGGAAATATTATTGAGCGTATGAATCCTTTGAATTTTTGTTGCTTTTACGAATTCGAGAGAGATTGAAAAGTATAGGGTGTTGAGATAGGAAATTGGAAATATGGTCGAGTGAAAATACTCGATATCGTCCAAAACTGTAATTTATTCTCCATGGTGCCAAAATACACTAGAATACTCCGTAATCGTAGAAAATATTGATATTGTTCGGATATAAGTATATAACATGTTAAACGCAACATGATGCGTGTGAATAATGATATTGAATGACGTGAAATTTTCATATGAATAGGGTGTACATTTGAAATGAGAGGGGTGTATATGGTGTGAATGGCAAAATCGCACAAATCTGAGCAAATAAAATTAACGATACGTATATCTAGCAAAAAAAAAAAAAGAAATAAGAAACAATAATACCATTAAAAAAACACGTTTGTTCGATAAAATTTCAAAATTGAAATTAAACTTCGATATTATCGAAATTTATTCGTCTAATTTTAAAAATCTGAAGAATATATACTGTTTCATTGAAAAATAAAATAAAAAGAAAAAAATACTGTTATTTTAACGAACGTGTTTTTTTATGGTCAAATAATCGATTCGGCGCTGTAATCGACAAAACTTATAGAAATTAAATCTCCAAAAAATCGATAATTTTATTCTTTTTTTTNTTTTTTTTTTTTTTTTTTGTAAAAAAAAGAATGGCAAAAAGTGGAATAAAATATTGATCGAAGGATACAATGATCATGGCCATGCAATAACTTTATGCCTGACATTACGGCGCCAAATTTAAATATTAACATAAGGAATTACGCGATATTTGAATTCGCGCGTTCGAGAAATTCAAAATAAATCTTACAAGATTAATCAATACAAAAGTTCAATCCTCCATGAACTAAATCATCATTTGTGATATAATATTGTAAAAGATCGATAATAATTATCATTTTAAAACGAATATAAAAGAATACTAATAATGGACAGAAAATAAAAATCATACTGATCATTTCTAATACTTAATATAAATATATATATATAAATATATATTTATATATATATAAAAAAAAATACGGTTCATGGAGGTTTAATGTGTTTGTATTTTTAAGACGCAATACAAACAGGCATCGTACTCTCGAAAGTATTCGATAACTTTGCCGCAAAATAGTCCGCCGTTTCTCTTTTTTTCAAATTTTCCATCATCACGATTACCAAAATATAATCTAATAAGAAGAGAAAATTTTTGCAAAGAAAAAAAAAAAAATATATCGTCCATCTTCGAATCAAAAAATTTCGAATACGATAATAATAAGAAACAGAAACTGCGGACCGCTGTAAAAATATCGATTATCATAATACAATTTGCAGATGAATCGTGAATTCGATTCTGCAATTAAATCGTGTAATTAAATTTTTTTGTTTTTTTTTTTTAAATTTTTATCCCCAATATACAGCAATATTTTCACGTATTGCCCATATATCATAATTTTAAAAGTAAAACCGCATGCAACGTATAATCTAAGTAGCCGCTACAGCAACGCAAAGGTGAATACATTTCGCGACAAATCAAGCTGTACAAAGCACGACACGATCATTTTTCATATCTTTTTTTTCTTTTTTTTTTCCTTTTTTCCCCCTTTTTGTCTCGTGATGCAAGTGACAATGCGAATGAAATGGAGGAGAAGGAGAATTCTTCTCGTATTACGTATTATTTATTATATATATATATATATAAGTAATATTTTGATTTGTCAGGTACTTTATACACATTATCATAGATAAAATAGGCAGGTGTGAGGCAGGCCTCGTGTTCGTCGAGTCCAGTTTTTTTTTTTTCATTCAATTTTCATTCAATGTCGACGAATGTATAAACTCTCGACGTTGAATGTAAAACGTAAATTCGACGAACGAGGATTTGAAATCGTGGAACGTCTCACGATGTAATATTAAAAAAAAGAAGAGAGATATTCAATTTTTTTTTTAAATAGTACAATATGAGACGGATCCTCTAATAAAGTGCGTGATAATGTTCTAGCACTATGATCGCGAAAGCAGACCGATTTTCATCTTCTTAGAATATTTATTGCTATAGTTTTCTTTTTTTTTTTAGAAATCATTTCTATAAAATTGTGTTTCAAATTTAAAAATCGATTATTCCGAAATAATAATTCTCTTCGAAAAGTGTCCTTTAGATCGGAGAATTTCAAGCGTCAATTTTCCTGCAAATGAAACGTTCCAAAGCAATTAATTCTCAGCAAAAATTGTGACGAATTACATTTCTTCTCGACCGACGAAAATTGTTCTGTTGTCGCCTCTTAAACTTTTCTCTTCGACATAAAACTACCCCTCGGGGTGTCGTTATCTCGCCAGATCTCAATGAAAAGTTTCACCCGATTCCACGGGGGGAAATCTGTTTAATAAAAAATCAGGTATGCAAGAAAGAATACAATCTGCTCCTGTTAAGCTCTATGTGTATGCATGTGTGTGTGTGTGTGTGTGTGTGTGTGTTTGAATGGATAATTGCCATTGTCTCTGTGTACACGTGTGTCGTCACCATTTGTCGTCGCCGTTATGGACACGTAAGTACAGCCTTTCGAATCCTGTGGATCGTATATAGGACATTCTTTGGAAGAACTATATAACTCGATCCACTACATTTACTGCAACTCTTTTTTGTCCTCTCGTTTCTTCTTATCAAAATATCTTTCTTATATTTTGGATCCCTTATGGTACATTCCTCGAAACATTGGAAAAATTGTACCTCGATCCAACCATTCATCCCTTTCTTTCATCTCTTCCTTTACTTTTCCACCTTTCCTTCTTACTGATTGTAAGATACCTCTTTGCATCTCGTGTTGTGTGGATCTCCTGTTGTGGTACATCCTTTGAAACATTGGAAGAATTATACCTCGATCCACTTCGACTCCATCATCGTCTTCCTTTTCTTTCTTTTCCTTTCTTCTCTTATTAAAATACATCTCCCTTTATCTTATAACGTAGCATGCCTATGAATACAATTCTACTTCGAATTCAAGTCGAATTCTAATCCCAACATCTAATCATTTCCTCACTTCTGCTCAAACTTGAACGCAGAGAGAACGTTTGACAACGCCCCGAGTTCTTGTTAGCCACGTGATGGAAATAAGAAAAAAAAAAAAAAAAAAATAACCAAGTCTACGAGAGATTCGCAAACTTGTTCCTTTTCAAGGAATCTCCTTTCTATATCTTATATCTTCTCGCTCGCTTCGCTACAAATCATCTTGACAAAAGTGCCACTAACACTCGTCAACACGCTCGTTTATAAACGCGTGCACGCTTATATTGTAAGCGTCGAATTCTGCAGAATTTCTCTCAAAATTTATTACGAATATTCTACTGAATCGTTCGTTTCTATCCTCTAGTTCATTCTATGTTTCTTTTTTGTCTTTTTTTTTTTTTTAAGCGGTCGCCCTGTTTTCCAACGAGTAACGCGTTTTAAGATTAAAAAATGTATACACAGGATTGATTATAATTAATTTGATTATAATATGTAATATGTGTTTGATTTTTTATTGCGTCGCTTATTGGAAAATCGAACGACCGCCACGATCCACATCGAAGCGCAAGATTAATTCGTATTATGTATAATTCTAACCAAGCTGAAATTGAGACTTTCTATAGACTACGATCCCTTTCCCCTTTGCAAAATATCTCACAAAATATAATTTCGTTTCTGTTCACGAAAATTAATAATTATATAATATGTATATATGTATATGTATATATTTCTTTTTTTTTTCAATTTTCTTTTATAGAAAAAAAGATATCGCTCGATTTTAAAATGCGAATCTTTTTCATTTTACACACGCGCTATTTACATTAAAAATTGCGTTTTTTTTCTATTTGATTATAATCTAGTTTTCGAGTTTTAATGAATCGAATGAAATATAAAAACTGTGCTTTTGGAAAAAAAAAAAACTGCGTAGAAAAGATAAAATGCAGAAAAAATTCCCTTTGAGCTCGAAAAATATTCAGTCGGTGAAAAAACGAATCGTCGCGTTGTAATTGCTCGTAATTGTAAATTGTGTACAATTTGTAAAAAAAATTGTCGTCTAAATTTCTATCCTTGTGTGAAATATTTCCCCCGTTTTTATTATCAAATAATCATTATCTCTACGATGTATAAAAATAAAATTCGAATCTTTTTTTCTTTTCTTCTCTTCTCTTTTCTTTTCTTCCCGAAGTTATTATTCTTTTTCGCTATCTATTACTCCCTGTCACGCGCAAGTTTTCGATTCTGAAATCGATCGAAATGAAGATCGCGCGACGAAACTTACTACCTCTTATCAAGAAGATCAATTCGCTTGGAAAACCATCGAGATAATCACAGCGTTTAATATTCTGCAAGTATCAATGATAATAATATAAAAACCTTGGGTACAAATTTTATACAAGCTCGTGTACCCGATGTTTCATTTTCAATCGCAAATTTGAATGCGGATCGAGATCTTTAATCCTACGTTAAACTGTTGAAAATTGAAAAGTGCACATTTCCTTGATTATCATTGTTTTCGCATTCATTCGCTTCTATGCTATTCTTCGACTCGATTAAAATGAAACGTCGCGTACACGCAAAGAAACGCCACTAAACGTCCGAATTTCAATTGTATCGAGACGATCTATTCATCGCATAAGTGAAAAAAAAATCCTTCAAGCGATAATTAGAAGCATATATTAATATAAAAACCCACCTATTCCTGTTTCCTTAATCATATCATTTCGTTAGAATCGAGTAAATCACCTTCAAATCGTAATAAAAATCCAATAAGACAACGTTCTCAATTGAAGAAGCAACATCATTCCTAAAGTCCCATTTGCGGTATTTATATTTATCAGTACATTCTTTCTTAAAGTCATCCTCCATCTTGAGAACTATTCACCTTCTTATCACACATTTATCATTTATCATCATTGTCTCTTACTAATTTCACTTCTTCTTTCCCATTCATCTTCTCGAGCATGCATCATTTTTGCTCCAAGTTCAACCGCATGATCGCAATATGAAGCGAGTCATGTTCATTCAAGGGCGTGTTTCTATTCTTTTCAATCCTTTCAACGTGTTTTCCTTCCGTCCACGATCAGTGGATAGGATATGGAAATTTTTTTTTTTTTATCAAACTCTGCCATTGTTATTATTCGATACCCTTGTGAATTTTCGTGGATGTATCGATCGATGATCGATGATAAAATTTGCGGATAGAACCGCCAAGTTCTATGGAACTTCGAAGAAAATGATCTTGTTCTTTGATATATGGGATGTTCTTCGAAGAAGCAAGATAATTTTATATTTTTCACGCCAGTACCGTCTGGTAACTGCGCGTATCGCTGGTATTTTAATGAAATTATCACAGGACCTGGTTAATCTAGTTAGTTTCATTAGAATTCCAGAAACCTGTGTTTACAACAATTCAGATCTCTTTTTGTCGATTCACTTTCTTCGAGTGGAATCGAAAACATTTTAGGCCTTCTACTTCTTCTTTTTTTTTTTTTCCTTTTTTATTAGAACGATCAAAAAGAGAATCCGAAGATATAACGCGAAGAAAATTCGTTTGCTATAATTCTGAGTGCCGTGAGTTCGAATATCAATCTTATTCGTTGACACTCGTTTGACATTGATAAACTTTGAAATCTTTAAAGAGAAATTCTCTTTTCTCTTCTTTATCTTCCCTATATTATGCAAGTGTTAATTATTAATTAAGATAAATCTTCGAGAATTTTAGCAAAGGAAGTTTCTCCACAGGTAGCATTCTTTAGCCAATGCTACCAACTGCTCTCTTAGAAGCAGTCATCCTTTATATATAAAAACAAACTAAAAAGAAAAAAAAAACAAAAATTGTTGAAAACAATAAAACGATGATATTACTGTCATTTAACATGCATGACAGTCATCCTACGGAAGCGTTCATGTAAAGAACGTTGCTTCCTCTTCATTTTTCAATCCTCCATACAACGTTATAAAATACCTTCTTTCTCGATCGACATTAAATTACAAACAATAATATGTATATGGTATATATATATAATTTGCAACATATATATATATATAAATAAATATTTATACTATATAACAAAAAGCGCCACCGACTCACCGGTCAGTTTTTTTTTAAAAAACCTCGTACTCGATTATGCGAGTTAAAAATTCATTTCGTTCGTCGTCATCATAATTGACTCTGTTGCAAATTCTGTTGAAAATAGAAGATAAAGTTTTTCTTTTTATAAATATCTGTCAACCTTATCTTTCTTAATCGTTCATATATATGTATATATATATATAGCTTATTTATATTTCATCAATTTTCTTCGTTCTTCTAGAATTTGCAAATTATGCTAAGAGGTTTCGATTCGTCTTTTTACATTCAATACGATTCAAAGATTGTCGTCTGCGTGGCTCTTCAACTCTCATTCATTCTCGATTTCGCACTTCGGCTAAGAGCAGGTATACGAAACTATACTTACCTCTCGTTCTCATACACGATTCGTACGATTTTTAAATAATTCATCTTGCTAAAAAATTCGTATAAAAAAAATTCTCCCTTATTTATCATTTTTTTCTTTTTTTCCATTTTTGACCTAACACTCATTGTCTAACGTCATTACCTCAGTCACTGATTATTATACGTTTATTCTACTTACTTTTTCTTTTTTTCGATTTATATATCACAATTTCAAACGAGCTCAGATTTTCCCGCTCGAGCGCGATTCGTTGCATCTCTGAAAGAAACTAATTTGACATTGTTTTATATTTTATAAATTATACGAGATTATAGTTTCTTTCTTCTTCTAAGTTTGAGCTTTCGTGTTATTAATTGACTCGAAAATTGAACACTCGAAATAATTATGGCAGTACAAAAGGATAAAAGTAAAAATGTAAGAAAAAACGCAGTGAGATCGAGAATCGAATGTGTCAACGATTCTTTTACTCCATCGACGATTCTTAATTGGAAAAAAGAAGCTATCTAAGTTTCATACTTTAAAAAAAAAAAAAAAAAGTATGAACACAAATATTAAAGATATATTCGAAATATCTAATAAATATCTCACCATTTTCGAACACACCGGAACACATCCGCATTTTTACCATTCAATCCCAACGAATGAATTCTCGATTCGAATCTCTCAACCTCGTTGACAGCGTACTCGAATACTCGAATTGTACCGCGAATTTTCCAAAACTTACTCTGCGCTCTCTCAAACGTAACGACACTCTGTAACGACCCATATCAACTCGATTATACATCATATCGACGAAAACGCAATAATGTAATGACCAACTTGTAATTTGGGAAGGGAGCCAAGCTGTGCTCGGTGACTGAGGGTTTCTACGATGATTCGAACGATGTACTCCGTGGAGAGATCCCATGGAGCGCGGACGCCGCGTGAAAAAACTTTTCCAACAAACGATCGGACGTCGCGACGTTCAGACAGGTGGTGGGCCCCTTACGTAGCGCAGTTGAGGGGTGAGCGAGAGGTTGAGAGTGTTGGTCGCCTCGCAGCAATGAGGCTCGAGCAGGCTGGCTGCGTAGAAGAGGGCGACCAGGGCCAGCTGGAAGGGCAGCGCCGCTCTCAGAATACGCGAGATCCAACTGTGGGAAAGCCCCGGATCGTGGTCTGGGTCCCCGCCGTCCGTGGCGCCACTTTTCGCCGCGATCGCAGCGACACGCTCCGTACCCTCCTTCGACATCACCGCGACGCTGGCCTTCTTGCGCTTGCTGCACACAAGGAAGATCGAGTTTTTTCTTTTTTTTTTTAAATATCTTTGCATCGATGAAAGTTTCGTTCGTAATATTTTGATTTTTTGTAAAATGATCGAGTCTTCGATTTGATAGGGCAGGATTGGTGGATCGTTGAACGATACGGTATAATAGGGGATCTGAACTTTTTCATGAAATTTTTCTCTTGTTTGTGGACAGGAATTGAAATGTTTGGATTGAATTTTTGGAAAAGAGAAAATTTTGAAAAAGTTTTCTTGAGAGGTTCTGATTATTATTTCATCGTGGTGAAAATGGTTACACATGTGGTAAACCATTTGAGAGGTGGTTGGTTATACGATACTCGGATTAGTTTCGAGATTAAATTAATTTTAAAGTAGCAGGTAAGGAGGAAGTTCGGATAGCTACGAGACTTCGAGTTGTCCCTGTAATCAAGCAAATTAATTTACAGCGTCCCACGAGAGAAAGTCAGAACAGGACGGAACAAGTGAAATATAAGTTCTCGGGTAAATCAAATCGGATATACATCTCTATAAACTTTTGTCGTTTAGCGACTTTCGGTGTAACCGTCACATTTGTAGCAATGATACAATTTAATTTTTCACTTTGATAAACCGAAAAATTAGAAGGATCGGAATCTTGGTTCTTTTTGGTTTTCTTTTTTTTTTTTTCGCTTGCTTTTTCGAAGCAAATAAAAAAGGTATTAACGTTTAAAGTAAAGGGAATGGAAAATAATGGAAGCAAAGACGTTTCTAGAATCGAAACAGGGAAAAAAAAGGAAAGAAAAATACGGGTCGACTGGAGAAAGGGATCTTTTACAACTTTTTTTATGATGCAATATGCCCGACATTCTATGCTCACGAAAACTAAACCTATTACCTTTGCCACTGTGCAGTGATTAAATGCGACTATAAAAAAGCATTCTTCAAACAAAGTTAAATAAGGTGGCTGATGATAGGAATTCGGAGTAATTGCGATTGAAACGAATCACGAAACGAATTCGCGTTAGGGGAAGAAAGTAAAACGAGTAAAACTCTGCTCTCTCTTTCTCATCTTAATTTTCCCATCTTAATCTTTTGTCCACGAAAATTTGAAAAATTCCAAGTATTAAAAAACAAAAATTTTTTATAAATTTCGAAGAAAAATTAAAAATTTGGATTTAATTTTCCATATATATCGAACCAAATTTAGTGAACGTCCATTCAAATATTTTACCAAATGTTCTTCAACGGCGGTTTCGAGAGGGCAGGAAAGAAGCGTTCATTCACATCTAACTTCTTATATTCAAATGAGTGGACGCAGTTATGAGAGTAGAACTATGAACGAGCAAGTTCTTGTCCCCGCGTCTAAATAGACGCCTTCATTCTTTGCCGCTCATTTTGACGTTATGCAAATGAAATGTGCGCCGAGAAAATCGTTCTTTATTCCCTCGAAAGTCTTGAAACGTCTGAATAAATTAAAAAAAAAAAAGAAGAAGAAAAAGAACACACTCGTTTATCCCGCTAAAGTACTTTCTCGTTTATCGAGATTCGTAATTCAACAATCATCGTATATAAAAACCTAAATTTATTCAAAGATTCTAACTCTCTCTACTGCACTAAAAAACTCGATCTACAAACCGAAATCACTTCATTCGTCTTTAACGAACTCGAAACACCTCTAAACGATTATCTACACGAATTGAGAGAAAAAAAAAGAAAGGAAGAAAAGAAAGAAGAAGGAAAAAACGGTACTCACTCGACGAAATGATGAACCTGGTTGCCGCTCGTCCTCTTGGCAGCTCTCGCCTCGACACTGGCGGCTGTGCGTACGATCAATTCTCTGCACTGCTTCTGAAGATCCCTTAGTTCCGTTTCCGCGTCCTCGACACGTTTCAGCAGCTCGACCAGGGCCTCGCTTCCGGGCGCCAGCTGACTCTCCAAGCTGCGGGTCAATCGTCGAAGGGCGGCCAATCTTCTCTCCCGCTCGCTCAACTCTTGCTCGCTTCCACTGTCGGAGATCCCGCTGTCGGACAGCGAGCCACCTTCGGTCAGACTGATCGGCGACGAGTCGCCGAATTTCCCCGACACCCCGCTGCCCACTTCCTCCGTGCTCGAGTCTTTCAACACCACCGTCCCGTTCTGCAAACAAGAATCGCCCGAGTTCCCCTTTCATTCGCTTCTCCTCCTTCGTTCGCTCTCTTTCACTTTAGAGAGAATCGTGGTTTTGTCGCCGAGGATTATGTAATTGCGTTATATCACGGCGTTACGTTTACTTCTCAACAGAGAAGTAAACATGGGTATAGGAATAATAAAACGGGAAATTTTAACGGTTCGAGTGGTAAATTATGCGAATAATTCAATTGTTTAAACCCAAATGGTCGAGATTTGCTACGATTAAATATTGTTCGAGTATTTGAAATAAAGTTTTCAAAAATCAGGTTGACGTTTTATATATTCGTTCGTTTTATTAACCAATTTAATCGGTTTTGGTTAAATCGAATTAAAATTCGGATCGAACGAGATAACAAATTATCTTTGGTTCCGCGATCGATCGCGGAGAAAATCAGGAAAGGATGTGCTTAAACCGTGCCACTGATTAGATCACGAGACGCTGATAGGTATAAATACACCCCGGGAGAATACGATATCGAATATTGCATAATCCAGTGTTGGTTATTGCCGGCGGGCAACCGGAAGGCATATAAGACGATTATATACGAAGGAAGAAGGGGGCGGAGATCGGGTGAGCGAAAGAAAGGAAGCAGACTCCACAGAGAAACGTGTATTATGTCGCTGAAATTTTAAGATTTTTCAACAATGTATGTTCGATAAAAATTTTCGATACTTTCGATACTCAATGGAGAGACGTCGAGTATATGTGTTGGAGTTGAAGTCGACGATTTATTAGGGTTATGTTATATGTCACGTGTTTTTGACCTGGAATCAATAAATCCTAGGAGAGACGTGTTAAACGTTCTTAACTGTGATTCCTCTTAACTTTGCCACCGACTTTCGACGAGTGACTCTCGACGGAAAAAAAAAAAAAAAAAGGGATAAAAAATTTTTCTTCAAACTCTTCAAATTCTTTGCATTGTGTCTCGATATGTATCACGATCATACATAACGTACAAATGAATCCAACGAAGAAAGAACATACAACGAAAGAAAGAAAGAAAGAAAGAAAGGTGTTATCCCCACGACACGAAACATTGATATCGGATGGAGCCAATGGTAATAACATTCAACAAAAAAAAAAAAAAAAGAAGAAAAAAAAGAAGAAAGAAGACGAAAAAGGAGGAAAGAGAAAAATAGGGTGCGGAGGATTGCGAAACAAGGATGAAGACGCGAGAGCAAGAAGGGGAGAGGAGAGGGAGAGGCGAGGAGCAGAGGGGGTGGGCGAAAGAGAGGGTTGGTTTAGGCTGTTGCAGCGACGAGGGAACGGGGAGGGAGGGAGAGAGGCTCCGGTAATGAAAAGCGCGATCCGCATACCAAGTAGCAACCTTCAACCTAACCTATATATAAGTCGGTATACTCTTGTATAACGGATAGTAGGTACGAAGTGAGTCTCGAAGTCGGAATCCACGTTGCCCGAAGGACCAATCACGTAGAAGAAAACTGCGAGAATTCCTTATTTCCGGTCTAGTAGGGCGGCCCGGTAACAGGGCCATATCACCCTCGTCTTCCTCTCTCTCTCTCTCTCTCTTCGTTTCTTTCTTTCTCTGATTCTGGCACGACTAACCTTGGAATATATCGCGTGTCATCATGGCGGATGGAGGGTTAGGTTTTTTTTTTTTTTGGAAATGCGAGGTTCGATTTCGTTTGCAGCCATCGATGGAGTTTGCTTCGAGTTCGTTTGTAAGTAGGTGACGGACATTCGAGTTCTTCTCGGGGATACTTGATGACCTCTCTGGCTTCAGCTTCGGATGCTGCAATCTTTTTTCGAATCGTGTTGCGAATCCTGATTATATATATAGAGTTTTTATTTTACGATCTTCTTATACTTCAAAGCGCATACGTAGTTTTACGTTAGTTTTACGTAGTTTCCTTTTTTAAATTAGAATTATTGTCAAGTAAAAAGTAATTAAGATTTGTTGGAGGAGTATTATATATATGGAGTATCTTTTAATAGTAAAAACAAAAAAAAAGTGAAAGCACCGATAATACTTTATAAGTTATTACGACGATCAAACTGCTATGATAAATATCTGCGAATACGTTCTCTTCGAACGATTAACTATTTTTGCGTTCTCTCGTGAACGAGAGGGTTCAATATTTCACTTTGATATATAGCACAGAATGTATATACTACGCATCACGGTTGTGTATCGAGCTGTCCGTCCGAGCTTACGAATTGTTTCTATTCCATCTTATAATTAGACCCATCTAATTCGATCACGGCTTATAATTAGGACTTGGCGACGGGAATGAAACTAATGTAACGATCTAAAGGGCAAGTGGATCAAGGAGGGAAAGAGAGAGGCGCGTGATAAAATCGTTCGCCGGACGAGCGTAACGTTAGGAGAGGTGAACCTAACGTACGTGGAAGGTTCACGCGGTTAAAAAGCGAGTCTGAGTTATTGCACGTGAAAAGTAAAACTGGGTATTACCGGGATAATTGGGCCGTGTAACGAGCCGAGCAATTTTTCCTGTCTCCTGTTAATTTGAGATATCGCGTTACATAAATTTCCGGTTACCTCTCCGATCCTCGAGCCGACTTTTAAACGAACGCTTCCACGTTCCATACGATGGAAATTGTACGATAAACAGCAACTCCATTTTTCCTCTCGCTTCCATGTTCCTACGTTCGCCTCTCATTGTAAAAAAAAAAGATCATCATGTATAATCACATTTATAGATAGAAATTCACTTATTCTCCAAACTCGTCGAGTTTTCGCAATCGAAAATTCGAAAATCGAATTGATTTCGCGTTGATAGGACAGCGAAACGCGATAACGATCACAAAGATCATCAAGGCAAACGATTACCGTTGAAGCTACCGTTGTAGCGTTGCTTCTTGATAGGAAGTGCGAATCAACCAAGCCAAGCCTCTTAATCTTTAGCCCGCGTAGAAAGTGGGCGCTCGTCGACACCGGTATATATCCGGCGGCTACGACTGGTCGACCAGTTCACCGGCAGCGATATTAAATTTGTATTTTTACGCTGATTCCACGGCCCATTCCCGTACGTGAGCCGAAAGGGAATCGTTCGGCCGATTAACGATCCGAGCTCCCTGGGGAGCCGCCGAGGTAGCCGAGACACAGCTTCCCAACTCGCACGCTATCTTCGTCCTTCCCTCCCCCGCTCCTATCCCTGCCCGCCTCCTATTCGCCAATATTTTATTTAACGCCTATCAAAATTTATGGATTTCTCTCGGTCTAAGGTCAACGGGAATTTAATGTTTTTGTCTCGTTCGTGGTTAAAAACAATGCGGGTCCGATTCTGATCTGAGGATTAAATAATGTATCGTAAGTGGTGTCTTGGAAAAGGAATTTTCCAAAGGTTCTTTTTTTCTCTCTCTCTCTCTTTTTCTATTCGATGTCGTTCGTTTGAAATAAATAACAGGGGGGAGAGGGATTGAAATCGAGTTCGAGAAGATGGGATATTTGTGCCCGGTAGGGGAAAAATATAGAGTGGTTCGAAGAAAATTATAAAATTAGGTTCGAAAATAAGATGGAGATAAAAATTAATTACAAAATTACAATTAATCTTATCGAATTATAAGATGGAACTATTCATCCCCAATTTGATTTTATCGCTCCAATCGGAATTCCTTCTTCCATTATCCGTCGCTCTCCTTCCCCCGAGAAGCGATCACTTTTCTCAAAAAAGAAAGACGAGCACTTTGTAACGCTGTTCCCCGGTAAAGGGTCGGAAATAATAGGAGAAAGAAAGACGTAACACGGTGTGCATGAAATTATCCCCACGAGTGTCGTAGATCGACGAAACCGAGCGGATTATTCCGTCTTGACGGGACTTTGAATACTCGCGGAACGGAAACGGAGATGGCTGGCGGAAGAAACGGTTGCAAGAGCGCTGCTAACCTTTCGCGGGGGTTGCTAGGAGCAGGTTGGCTTTGTTAGGGTGAAAATATCGTGTCGCGGGCCATACGTCTTCCCGACAGGCGAAATAAGCGCGGGGACAATTGGAAATTGCCAAGGTTAACTCGTGTTGCTTTTTCGTTTAGTGGATGGTAGTGGATGTTTGCTTCGTGCTTAATGAAGATTTGGTAACGGAAAAATAGAGAGAAGAAACGAATCGATAGAGAAATAGTGGAAAAGAAGATAAATACAAATAATCCTAATTATTGGTTATAGGAATCCGTGCTTGTAGACCCCGGATCGGGGTCCCCATATCTCGAGCCAAGGCTTCTCTCGATTCCTCCATGTCACCCTCTTCGTCCTATTTCGTTCTATATGGAGAAACTTAAAAACAACTCGCTTAATAAACGTAAATTTTCGAAGAAGAAGAAGAAGAGGAGGAGGAGGAGGACGAGGGACACGCTCTATAAATAGCTATACTTTGAGGAAGGAGTCGGGAAGAGGGGAAAGACGGGGTCAGATTAGAGGGTACGTTTGACAGATGACACTTGTCGATATCGTGTTTCGGTTAAACGCCACCGCATCCCCCTATTTCCGTCCATATCCGTCTTGCATTTGCATATAGAGTAAATCTCGGTCTCGCGCCTGGCTTCCACGCTTTTATGGACTTAAGGAGAAAAGTAGCTCGAGGTGAAGCAGGTGGCAGGTTTGTTATCACGACTTCCGATTGGCCTGGCCGTGTTCCGCTTGTCAGAGAAACGTGCCACCCGCCCCGCGATATTTCCACGTCTACGTCCCTCATTTTTTTCTTCCCTCCTCCCCGTTACGCGATTAGAATAACTGGCTCCGCCTGATTGTTCTCGCCTTATTACTCCGCCCCTGAACTTCGATTCTTGTTGTTCGCTTTGCACGTTTAATTGTTTCGCCGAATGGAAATGTACGTGGATCGAAACGATAAAATTTTCGATCGAAAAACGTTCTTCTGGAAAGCAATGAGATAATCGATCGAGAAAAAATTTGAAAATTCTGGGATCCGTAATAAGGAAAAATATTTTTTCAAATGCACGTAAAAAGGGTAATAATTCGTATCCATCGAATATAGTTTTTCAATCTTTTCGAGAGGAGAGGGATTCATCATCGGATTTTACTTCTTACAAGGAAGAGCAGAGAAAAAACAGAGAGTAGGAGAAAAAAGTTTCGCGCGAAGTAAAAGACGAGCCAATAAACATGATTCGCCTTATAATCTCGTCTTCCTTAGGAGAGCCATATCCCTAGAGTTCTTCCGCTCTCAGCCAATCTAAGCGGGGAAATGGTTTTATGCACACAAGTGATGCCCACGGGAACCGTTACCCCATCCAACGACGTTGAATAATTGCTGCCAGCTATCTAACCGATTGAAAATCAAGGATACCGTGGGAATATCGCCTAAACGATTTCGTTCCTCGTCGATGGATATTAACACGAGATCGTCGATTCGTCAAAAATTCGTCAGAAATAATTCTGCAATTTCCTCCCTTCCTTCTTTTAAATTAGAGAGAAAAAAAAAAAAAATCGAAAGATCATAAATTTATGACGATTGGCAATTTCAAGATCGAAAAATGAAAATTCATCCGTCATGCGAAGCAATTTTCATCCACCGCACCGGATGGAAGAATAGGAGGGTGCTGATGCATCGTGGAGTTTCGTGGAAACGATAATAGGTATGATAGAAAATAAAGAGGAGGAGGATAGAAAGGACCCGAGGTTGGACCCGAGAATAACCATTATCCAAGCGAAGGACGTGGATCACGATGCAAAACGATCGATCGGCGCGCACTTAGCGGCCCTTGTCGGCCCTCACGATTCTTCTCTTTTAGCCGTCTTCTCAGTGCCTCTAATCGTCACACGTAACATACGTACACGTGCATACGGTAATGGGATCGAACGATATTATCCATCGTCGCTCGTATCGTACGTAACGGAATGCGATTTTCTAACCGATCCAACGATAATTTTACCCTTTTGTACGTGTGTTATGGATGAGATACGATCGTTTAACGTAACGCGAAGATCGTACGTATCTTATCTATATATAAAGAATATCGAAGAAAAAAAATAACGTAAAAAATGGTAAAGTGAATTTGGTAATGATTTCTCAACATGAGAATCGGATGAAATAAAAAAACGTTACGATATGTTTCCCCGCTTTAGCGAAATTACTCTCTTCACGCGGCACTGAAAAATTTTATTGTCCAACCATTCTCCACGATTATCGGCCCCGACTCGTTTCCTCGACGCTTACAACGCGTTATCGAATGAATAGGACTCTAAAAATGGAAGTTTTCTAAGAACGATTCGTCGTAGCCATAAAAGTAAGAAGAAGGTCACTGAGAATAAGAAAAAGACGAGGCGAAGTTAATTTGATTCGAACGAACGAGAAATATCCGATGGTATTTTTCATTCGTACAATTTCAATTTTTGATAGAAAATTTTTTCTGTTAATTTTTCGAAACGTAGTGAACTTTTCCAACGAAACCTTCCTCCCTCGAATAATTTGGATCTGCTTTTGTTAGAATACCTGTGTCATCTTACCTGACAACTGATGTCTTGTTTCTCGGACAACAACCTTGCGACGTGACGAACAGACGAAGCAACCTCCGAAGTGGCTCCTGCCTGTAGGGCCACGTCCAAAACTGCAAGTGTGTCCTTATCCCTCCGTAAAGCGCACTGAAGCTCCGACAAACGTATACTGAACTGTTGGACGGCTTGCAGAGCGCACAATTGTTGATTGCCTCTGCAAAATACGGTTTAGCCAAGGTTATCGTGGGTGGGGATATCGAGGATAGGATTTGCTCAAAGTACGATACTCGATCAAAGTTAACTCGAGGCCTAGAATATTTTTGTATACACGAGTTGGATCGAATTGTACAACATTGTTCTAATTAATCATTTCTATAACGAATTTCGAAAAATTTTGCCGGATAAAGCGCAAATGAGAACTGGTGGACTGGTTCCTGAAGTTAAACGAATTACTTTGCAGATGATAGAATTGAATCGTTGAAAAAGAGATAAAACAGTTATTCGAAAAAACCTTCATAAATAGGACGAAGAAAATAATTTGTAAATATCGAACAAATGTTGGACGAAAAAATATTACGTATATGAATGGACAAATTGCAATATAAAGTAGATCTGAATTTAGTAATTTATCGAAAAAAAAACCTACTTTTCTCGATGCTCCACAAACATCGATTATCTCGAGTTCTCGGAATCGGTGAAAGCGAGCCACGAAATTGAATGGAAAAATCGCGAGACGAGTCAACACAATAAAAAGTGGAACGAGGGCGAAAGCCTCTTGGCAAACAGTAAGACGTCAAATTATTAGCGGATCTCCCCGATGACGGTATCGGCAAATAAGAAACACTTTAGGTCAATCCTCGTAGCCCTAGGCTCGCGCCATCCAATGAAACCGAGAAAAATGGTTTTTTTCCACATCGATCGAAAGAATCCCCTTTTTTTAATAAGAAAGAAAGAAAAAAGAAAGATGGAATAATTCGAAAATGAATAAAAATGGGAAAAAATTTAACGTGGCCAGGAAAATACGTTTCTTTAAAAATTTAAAAGAGACAAAACGAAGAAGAAAATGGCCATATTGGAAAAATGAAGCGTAACACCGGCCGATTTGTACGTTATAGAGAAGAGTGTCGCGCGCTCGTGCAAAGAATAGAAATTCCTGGGGAGAGCCGTCCGAGGGATAGGATTGACCTTTGTAAAAGCCGAGTGGGTCACTGGTAAACCCCTTTGCATGGGTCAGAACCCCTATCAGACGGGGGAATCAAGTGCTCATACGGCAATTAAAACGCGCATGGTGGTCAACCACCACGTGCCTCCCACTTGGAACACGTATCAATTTCAAGGTTCGTGATTCACTTGACTCGCTATTTATAAACATCTACATGTTTGAAAGTAAATATACGTTTCAATTGAAATTTTTCATACGATCCTTGAAATATTTAATTTTACGAATTATCGATTATTCGTTTATTCATTATTACTGAAAGAATTGATTAAAATTTAATTAAAATTTTCGCGATTCTTTCGCGTGACCATGATTTTTACTTTTTTTTTTTTTAGTAACAACAGTCGATTTGGACACGCGATCGATTTAAAAACGTGCAAGATTAAACCGGCGATCCCGGCTAAAACTAGTAATCCCGTGACACGGGTCGAAATCCCAAAGATTCGAGCCCTTCGTTGCCTATGGTGTCCATGGTTCCCGCCGTGTTTGCTTTCGAGGCTTCATTGCCTCTCATAATATTTGCCCAACGTCACACGACCGGCCAGCGAACGGTCAGTCAATGATCCTAAACCAGCTATTCCTCTACGAGACTCGATAACGTTCGTCCTACCCTCCCTCGAAAGGGAAAGAAACTCTCAGAGGGACAAGAGGTCTCGAGCAATTGTATTATATTGTGGTTAATTATCTCAACAATATGTTTTTCGTTCGTTGTTCAAACTCACTTTTGAAAGGTTTCATCCCAGACGCGATACAGATCCGCCACACCATCCTTGAGCGCGGTGAAGATCAACGAGGCGGAGTTACCTAGATCGGTGATCAGTCTGTGCGTCGAGACGTTCAACGCCAGCATAGCCGCCTTGCGATCCCTCAACGCTGCCAGTTCGGCCTACAGAGCATTAAATATACATTTTTAGTGGTTACCTTCTTCGGCTAACTCAAACGAATTGCCCCGTTCTTTGCGGCGTAGGGGGCTCCGCTTTGGGGTTGCGGGTGATGTATAAACTGGTCACCAAAGTAGTAGACCAAATTGTACAACTTACGACGAAAGTATAGTTTGTCGTGTTCTTGTCTAGAAAATTTCATTGATAATCGACGAATAATTGAGATTTACGTGTATCGAATTTCAGTAAGGTATATCAACATTTTTTTTATTTTTCTTTAAAAAGAAAAAGTAAGGATCAGAAGAAGGAAGGAAGCGTTAAAATTCGTATCGGGAAGGAAAAGTGACCTAGGTCCGGAGAAGGTACATCACGAACTCCATTTTGACGAATATCGAGAGCAGTCAGGCAGAGTCCGGCATCAAGGGCGAAATAAACGTAAGTTTATCAGGAAGAACATAACCGAACTATAAGGGTTGGAAGAGAGCAAGGTAGACGATGGAGTAACCACGTCACGTTGTCACGTCTCTCCTTCGTCCTACTGCAGGAGGCGACCGACGAGGGCCGCATAAATAAACCCAGCTTTACGACGCAGCCCGTAACAGAACGAAAACGAGAGCCCCTCCGCTTCGTCCACACCCTCTCTCTCTCTCTCTCTCTCTTCTTTTCTC